TTTGTGAGGCTGATCGGTGTGTGATTTTAACCAGGGTGATGGTGGCAAGGTGTGCAGTTTGCACCTGTTGTGGGCGCTTTTACAGGGAGGGGGAGTTGAGAAGGGGGGTTTGGGATGGGGGAGGGAAGGGAGCATTTTTGCCTTGGTAGTGTTTTCTTCTTTTGTGAGGCTGATCAGTGTGTGATTTTAACCAGGGTGATGGTGGCAAGGTGTGCAATTTGCACCTGGATCATTGACATGTGTTGTGGTTGTTTTACAGGGCGGAGTAGAAAGGGGAGTTTTGGGGTGTGGGAGTGGGAGGGAGGCATTTTTGCCCTGTAGTTTTTCTTCTTATGTGAGGCAGATCCAGCCGCTGGCCATAGAAATCATCTGTTTTGCTTGTGTGGGTAGTTCAGAAAAGCCGCCCTCTAGCAGACAATACGGAATGGGGCCCTTCCCGTCCATCAGTTGTATTACACCACAGGGAGTTTCATAATGGGCTCCGTATATTTAAAAGTTAGTGTGCAGCTCATCTGGTGCTATGTTTATTGTAACCTGGTCTTTTTTTTCATGAGGTCCATGATTTCCTGCTTTGAACATAAGAGCCATTGGGGCTCACCTATCTGACATCGAGTGGAACCAGCGGATGGTTCTAAGAAAATAATTTGTTTGTATGGAGAATTTGAGGAGCGATCAAACTTGCCAACTTGGATAAATTTGTCGATTGTCACATAAATACTTGTCGCAACACTGCCTAATTATGCAGATTATTGAATAAGAATGACTGACCATGAATTTGACACACACTGTGCCACAAATCTAGGCTACCAGCTGGGCTGCCCGGGGACCTACCTTCTTTTCCCGGGTGGCCCAGCTGTGCAAGGACCCGGGAAGGGCCCAGCAAAAAAAAAAAGAAAAAAAGAAAAAACGAAGAAAAACGATGTTATGCAGAAAATGAAATTTGACATTTTTTGTCTCTGTGTCACATCAAAATTCTTTCCCAATATTAAGGAAATATACCTACGACGGTAGGTTTGTCGGCGTTCAGGACGGGCCGAACTCTCGAACCTGAACACCACCCGAACGTTCGGCACCCCCTGTCGACGCGAACGGCCGTTCGGCCGAACCTGGACCCAAAAAAAAGAAAAAGAATTCCAAAAAATCTGAAAAAAAAAATGTTATGCAGAAGAATAAACTGAACAACATTTGCCTCAACGTTACATCGAAATTCTTTACAAATTTGAAAAAAAAATCACAATAATAAGAATGAAAATTAGAAAAACTTGAACGAGAATGAAGTTATTGAGTGGGGAGCACAATTTTGACACCGCCATCTTTGGCGATTTTTCTTTGTTTTTGGCTGTGACAAATGTCATGAAAATTTTTATGTTTATCTTACATAATATAGAATCTACAAATAAAGTTTAAAAACATAATTTTTTTTTTCATGCCCCGAAATAAAGGAAAAACGAAGTGAAAAGAGAGACAGCAAATTGAAATTAGTGAGTGCAAGTTTTGATACCACTATCTTTGCCGATTTTTCATTTTTTTTTGGCTCAACAGAATGGCTTCAAAATTAAGAGGGAGATTTCTTACATCACAAAGAACTCACCCAAAAAAATTCAAAAAAAAATGGTAATATTTAGGTGCCAAAATATTTTTTTGCGGGGTCGGAACCCCTTCAGGTTGGGGCCCCATACGGGGATCCGAATGCCCGAAGGTTTCGGGGGTCAGCTTAGGGGCTTCCGTACGTTCGCCATGGCAACCCTGTACGACGGTATATATATATATATATACTTGTCACAGCCCCTCGTTTGTTGTCCTCTTCTCCCTCTCTGCCTACGGTTTACCGGGCAGTTCTATTTGACGATATATATATATATATATATATATATATATTTTGCCCCGTCCTGGCAAGTGGTCCCGGCCCACTTTGGTAGCCTAGCCACAAATAGGATTGCTGTGTTAATGCAAGAAAAACATTGTACGCATCCTTTGAGGTTAGCTGGTTTGGTAGGTTGAGTAGAATGAGCGATTTTGAGGGGGGGGGGTGTCTGCTGAGTGATGCAGCTGACGTGCGTGTTGCGATCTCTCGTCTGTCGTGTGCAGTATCCGAGATGAAGTGGAGAAAGAGCATGCTTTTCTCGGTCTTTGTGCAATGGTATGATGCCTGAATGCTTTTCAGTCTGAACAGCTTTATGTTTCTTTATCATTTCCCGTTTTTTCTTTTAAGTGTGTGTTACCAAACAGGTCACCTTGGTTGGCCATGCATCCCGGCTGGGCAAGGGCCAGCGAAGGTCTCTGACACTATGAAAAAAAAAAAAAAAAATTCCCAGAAAATCGCCAAAAACTTTGTGCAAAAAAAAAAACTGGACAACGTTCGTCTCCAGGTTCACAACAAAATTCTTTGCGAAGTGGGGTCCCGCGCAACTCTGGTAACATTTTTTAATTATTTTTTTTATAAAGTTTTTTTAAGTTTTTTTTTGTTTTTTTTTTTAAGTTTTTTTGGACAATATCTTGGTTCATGTGTGTCATCCTTGCACAGGGGCCATGCGAATCTTATCTGTATTGTTCCAATTTTGATGGATGTCGGGAAGGACCATGCGGGATCATCTTCTTAATCTTGGTCAGGCAAAATTAGGGACTGGTGGTTACATCGCAAACTCCATTATCATGATTGCCGGCCTCCATCTTGCTCAAACCCTAGCCGTCTCCCCCCAAGCACAATGCAGAAACATAGCTCGTGTACACTCGTGATCAAGGTGGGGGTTATGTTTGGGGGAAGACGGTAGTCTCATTAGAGCGGCTTGATGACAAAAAAAAAATCCCTAGACTTAGGACATGCTCACACTAGGCCCTCAAAATCTCAACATTGCAAAACGAGCGGGCAGATAGAGCCCTCTGCTTACAAGCACTGGATCCCACCGTTCATTTTGCTATTTTGCGATTTCGAGGGCCTAGTGTCAGTATGCTCTTGTAGAAAATTGCTAATGTGAGAATTGGCCGATCCGGGCCGCCCGCGGTCCTACTGGCCCGAAGGTCCGGATTTCCGCGCAATCTTAGACTTTAAGAGCGTGATGATCCAGGGCGGACGGCGTGGATAGTCGCACGATCTTAGAGTCTTAAGATCGCAGGAGGATCCGAGCCATAGGTCCCGTAGGACCGTAGATGGTCTTATATGGTTGCGGCGGTTGTGCAGCTGACGGCTGTTACTCACGGTCGCAGATGGCCCGTTGTGAAAGAACTGCAGAGGGCCATGGCTCAATCTTTGTATCCTGCTTTCTCTGTGTGTGTTTGTGTGTGTGTGTGTTTGTGTGTGTGTGTGTGTGTTTTGCCCTCTTTCCTCTGTGTGTGTTTGTGTGTGTGTGTGTGTGTGTGTGTGTGTGTGTTTGTGTGTGTGTGTGTGTGTGTGTGTGTGTGTGTGTGTGTGAGAGAGTGAGAGAGAGAGAGAGATGGGGAAGGCGAAGCGTTCGGAGAAGTTGGTGGGGAGGGGTACTGTGAAAGTGTGCCACGAGGCCTGTTTCTTTTTCCGCATTCTGTTTTTTCCCCTCTTTTTTGCTCATGTACATGTGTGTGTGTGTGTGGCATACTTCGCAGCCACACGGGCCTGTAGGGGCCCGACCAGACGGAATACAGGCCCTGTGTCGTTTCGGCCTGGAAGCCTGAAAACAAGGGCCTACAGGCCCTGCGTTGTTTCCGCCTGAAAGCCTGAAAACGAGGACCTACAGGCCCTCTGTCGTTTCAGCCTAAAAAGGGCCATCAAGGCCCTGAAGTCTTTTCAGCCTGAAACGGAGGGCCATTTCCAGGCCCTCATAAGATCGACCTGCTCTTAAACTTAGGCACCAGACCGGGGTTTTAGCACAGGCCATTTTGGGCCTCTTTCCAAGACCTTTGTTTTAACTTCAACCCCAGGGTTTGGCACGTTTTGGCATTGGGTCTGGCACGTTTTGGCATTGGCAAGAGCAGCCTCCTGGACGGGCCAGCACTATATAAGACTGGCCCGCCCTGCAGGCTGCAGTAATACTCACGTGTACTGTGTTCACCCGAGTACAATGTACGGTTGTTATTTCTGTATCCAGATTCTAGACTTGCCCCAAATACGGCTATAGGGCCTCGCTCCAGTACTCTCGACATGGTTTCTGGTGAGCACTGTAGGCAGTGTACGCTACAGAGTTTGTGCATGGATCTGTGCTGAAGTTTCTGCTATTGGGATGGGGAGCATTCATCGGGATATTTTAACTGTTTTGTCTTCTGTCTCATGAAGAAACAGGGATAGATCTGTTTACCGACTATCTCACACTTTCTTCCCTCTTTATGCTGTGTCTGCTGCTTTGACGTCATGGATTGCAGATTCGGTTGAACCCCGCCGGTGCTGTGAGTGCTTTTGTCCCCATGTGCCTGGCGATCGGCAGCTGGCATGTACGTGTCTCTTGCCCTGCTCGATGTCTTCTTCACAGCTCGTCTTCACCATCTGCATGTTGTGCTGTAATGCTTTGCAAATTGCGTGATGTTGTTCAAAACATCGAGTTTGTTTTGTCAAGTTTTCTTTTTTTTTTGCGCTCATAATGATGTAATGAGCTGTTGCTATTTGAGAAACCCGTGAGGAAGTCGATGATCGTACATATAAGCAATTTAGCCAATTGGAATCACGACCTAGATTATGAGAGTGCCTGATCTATTGAAGAGTAGTTGTGTTCACATTGAGAGTTGAAACATTTCTCAGTCATTGAGAATAGTCGTTTTTTTTTTGTTTTTTTTTTTCAAATACTTGGTTTTGGTATCGTCATCTTCACACTCTCGGTGCATACACGAAGGCAAAAAGGAAAAGCTCTCAAAAAATGGGTTGGACTCACTTGAAAGTCGTTATCGCAGGCGGGTGAAACCTCACGACCTAGATTACGAGATTGCATGATCTACTGATGGTTGGACTGTTGACCGGTGCGTACAAGAAGGCAAAAGAAGAAGCTCTCAATAAATGGGTTGGACTGGCTTGAAAGTCGTTTTCGCAGGCGGGTGACTCCGCACGACCTAGATTGGGAGAGTGCATGATCCTACTACTGATGAGTAGAGTGGAGAGAGTTGTTAGATGTCGAGAGTGGTTGGTTTTGGTGCCGGTTCTCTACACTAAATCTCTATGGTTGGACTCGCGATCGGTGCGTACAAGAAGGCAAAAGAAAAGGCTCGCAAAAGTGGGCTTCAACTCAGCTCCCTCGAAAGTCATTTTGGCAGGCAAGTGACCTCTGTTCTTCAAATTTGGAGTTATGCCAGATCTAGATTTTTTGTGTGGCCTTTGTAATTTTGTGTGCAGCAACGTGTCCACTCCTGGAAAAAATGTGATGTGATTTTGAGAGCCGTGGAGCAAGGTCCGGTGTTAACGAAAATCCTGAGCTTTCAAGAGCACACCTGGACTCAATAAAGTCAGGCCTTCGGCTTCGACAGAGGATGCAAGCGTTATCCGGAATGATTGGGCGTAAAGCGTCTGTAGGTGGCTTTTTCAGTCTGCTGTTAAAAACTAGGGCTTAACCATAAGCGAAAATTGATAATCAAGTATTTCGTACCTGCTTCACTTGAGTGGATATCTTTTTTGATATATCCAGTTAAATAAGAATCTAATCCAAGACATTCTAGAGAGAGAAAAATGGTTATAAATTTGGAAAGTAGTGGCGTGTTTGTTCTTGAAAAGTGTGCTGTGATTTTGAGAGCCGTGGAGCAAGGTCCGGTGTAATGAAGACTGTGTATGCACGTTCTGATTAGGTTTGGATTTCCGGTTATTTTGCTTTCTTTGGTATCCGCAGGAAATTCGAAGTGAAGAGCTGCGAACAGAGCTTGGACAAGTCCTCCATGGGTATAAACAGGTCAGTGTACGAGCTGCCTGTAGCGTTTCGAAAGACTGCTACCGTCGTCACCGGAATATAACGCCCGGTCATTATAGCTGTATTTGGGGCATTTGTCACTCCAGATGCAGCGATAATGACCGGGCGTTCTATTCGGGTGAAGACGGTAGCACGTGGAGCCAGGTTTCAAGGGCTGGCCTTTTTGTGAGCCTGAACCCTCTGTTTCTGCTAGAGCTGTCATGCAGTCCTTGATCATTGCAGCTTAGGGAAGACGATGTCTGCTTAAATGGTCATCGCAATTATCAGATGTCTCTGGCTGGCCCCATCTGCCTGTTGCATGCCTTTTCACTGGATGTTGGACTCTTGACCTCTCCCTCGTTCGCCCCCCTTGTTCTTTTACGATATTCCTATTCTTATCCTCACCATCCTCTCTTGTTCCTCCATGCCATCCTTCATTAACATCGACTGCTCGGTTAACTTACCTGATTCCAGGTCATCACCAACCTTTCAACCTCGTTGGATGTTGAAGTCTTTGCCTCTCCGTCCTCTTTCCCCCCTCTTGCGCGTTTATGATAGTCCTATAATACCTGCCATCTTCCTTGTCGTCCGTCATCAACATCGACTGCTGGGTTAACCAAACTGGTTCCTTGTCATCACCAATCCTTCAACCCCTCTAGCCTTTTTTTCTGCAAAGAAAATTCCCATCTCTCTCTCTCTCTCTCTCTCTCTCTCTCTCTCTGTGTGTGTGTGTGTGTGTGTGTGTGTGTGTGTGTGCCGCCAATGCCTCAAAGTAGACGGGGGATAAAAAAACTGTGCCATGTTGCACAGCCACATGTTGCGACCCTCCCCCCTTTCCCCTCTCCTCATTACTCTCACGTCCCAACACCTCAAGCAATCTGAAGCTTTACCAATAACCCCCTACGCGTTTTTTATGCGCCCCCGATTCGTGGTCATCACCCCCTTTGAGCCCTGATGACCAGGCTCAACTTCAGCACCCCTCGTTCCTGGTCATCACCCCCTTTGACCCCTGATGACCAGGATCGACTCAAGCAACCCTGCTTCCTTAAGCACCCCTGATTCCTGGTCATCACCCCCTTTGACTCCTTTAGCCTCTTTCGGCAAACAGAAGTCCGCTCCCTATGTCCACCTCCCCCAACCCCAAGCGAGCTTTCCAGCTTGTCTAACTGTTAAAGGACCAGAACCTCGGAGCTCCAAAATTCTGGATTGGCTCCGTTTCAACTCTAAAGTCTGCCTGGGTGATGAACTGGATGTGTAACATCTATGAAACTCCTTTGATGCAACCCCTTCCTTCCCAGCTTCTCCACCTCCTCACGCTGTTCTGGAGGACTGCTGATCACTGCTGCCAGCTCCCCCATTTTATACTCTGATCTAGTAAATGGAGGATCCAAGTATGCAGCGGAGGCGAACTCGTATGGACCCATTATACTGCCGTTGCGGAGGACTGCTGATCACTGCTGCCAGCTCCCCCACCTCTAATCTGAGTACCCCAACCTGGTCAGCTTCGTATTGCGCACCTGGCTTCACCTCGTTCTCTCCACCCTTGCTAGAGCTTTTCATGGCATCTTGTCTACCTTATCCTCAGGCAGCGAAGCTGACTAGCGGAAATAGGATTTGAACCCTTAGTTTTTTGCCAAGGCTATACGTTTACGCTGTAATCCTGTGACATTCATGATGACTGGGTGTGGCAAAGAAGTTGGGTCATTTTCAGCCAAGTCCCTGTCGTGAGTGCGCTTTGGCCTTGTACCCGGGACGGAAAGGTCAGTGGTAGCTGATCAACAAAAAAGAAGTTATGAAAATCTGATGCTGCATGACGAGTGCTAGTTGCACTTGTGCATTTTGCCAACGAAGGTTAGCCATTTTAAACGAGAGGCGCCATTGCGAGTTTCACTTTTGGTCATGTACATCGGACATGAAGGTAAGTGGTACCTGATGGAAGTCGTTGATGGATGGAGGGGGGCAGGGTTTTGTTGTCTACAGCGCTGTGACCGACTGGGTACACAGGTGTCTCCTGGCTAGAGGGGGTAAAGTTGGTAAACACATAAAAACTGTGGGTGCCACCCTCCGTTTCTCAACCAGGCCCAGACCGGAATTTGTGCCTAGAGTCGAGCGTCGAGAATCCCTTTTTTCTGTATCCGATCGCCCTTCCTTCTCATATTCCTTGTCTGCTTGCTTGTGAAAAGCAAACGCAGCCCCCCAGGATAGATGCGGCAAGCATGGTGTGTGGGTTTTTAAGAAAAGAAGAGGAAAAGCGAAAAAGGAAATATGAAAGTCTGGTGCTGCATGTGACCGGCCTTCGGGGTATTTCAGAAATGTACTGATGGTGTTCCGCTGTGTTCTGGTGCGATGTTTTGGGTTGCAGATGCTGGGCCCAACGGTATGGGAACAGTATATGCAGGCGTTGGATCAACCATTAAGGGAGAAGTTGGCAAGACGGTACGGAATATAATGAAATGAAGGCGTCGTGAGGCTTGTTTTTTTATGACATGCCCACGGATGGAATTCTCACTTGATTGCTGGCAAGTCTCGCAGAAGGCATAGCCAGGTGGAGAAGGAGGTCCTAGCTGCGTTGCTGGACCACGCTCTATTAATGTTAGAGACTGGCAGGTGTGATGTCTGGTCGACTGTCAGCTGCGCAAGCGGAGAACTGTCTGTTGCCAATGCCCCCCAGTTATTCCAGTGTTGTTAACACTTGGAAACATCTCGGTAAAGATTGTTATGGCTCTATGAATGGAGTAGACGGGCTATTTTGTTGCAGGTATGTGTGTGTGTGTGTGTGTGTGTGTGTGTCTGTGTGTGCAAGTGTGTGTGTATGTGTGTGTAAGTGTAAGTGTGTGTGTGTGTGTGTGTGTTTGTGTCTGTGCGCCCTAGTGTCTACGTTTGTGTGTGAGAGAGAGGGGGGAGAGGAGAGAAGGTAGAGTTGGGTAGAGAGCATGTCCCTGGGATACCCTCGCAGTCCATGTTGGATGGCTGTGCTAGACAGACAACAGGGGGGGAAGGGAAGGGGACAGACGGGGGGTCCCACATCCCCAGATCATTGGGTTTTGTGGGTTTTGTGGTACTCCAGAAGTGTCGTGGGTAGTGCAGCTCGTGTCTGGTGCAGGTGAGAGCTAGGGACTGGTCTGGGTGAGTGAGATGTCCAAGTTAAGTGCAACAGGAATGACTGAATGGGAAGGTAGGTTATGAACATGGGGTGATATACTCAAGATGAGGTAGGTTGAGCCAGGTGCCGAGTAGAGTGGAGTTCGCAGTAGAGTGAGGACAGAGAGATGGGGAGGCTCTGTGTTATTGTCAATATTGAAGGATGACCCAGGACGTGTGTTTATGTGTTTGTGTTTGTGTGTGTGTGTGTGTGTGTCTGTGTGTGGTGATGCGTGGGTGTGGGTGTGTGTGCGCGCGTGATGCAGTTAGTGTGTCTGTGTATGTGCATTTGTGTGTGTGTCCCTGTGTTTGTGCGTTCGTTTCTGTGCACGCACGCTTCTGCCTGGTGAGCGGTGTTAGAAGGTAGGACAGTTTAATTGCCCTTGGAGGATAGGAGTTTGATACGGAGAGAACTCCTAAGATTGAAATTATATTATTAGAAAGTAAGGCTAGTTGTTGTCTGCAGATTCTTTTAAATCCAGGCTTGGTAGCATTTGTCCAGAGAATAAGGAGGGAGAGAGAGAGAGAGAGAGAGAGAGAGAGAAGGATGGAGGGAGGGGCTCTCGAATCGCCCGTAAGGCTTGCTGCTGACCGGTGAGCTTTTGTGTAGGTGCTGCTTCACGCTGCAAAAAGGCGGAGTTGGGTATTTGTGGCAAAGCAATAGTGGAAGTATCTCTTCTGCATCAACTGTTCGAATGGCTTGGAAAGAGCATGACAGGTTGTTAGCTGTGGAAAGGAGGAAAGCACGGATAGCATGTGAGTGGGTGTTGTAGGCTCGGAGCTCCAGTCTGATGTAGGACAGCCAGTTACGTAGGGGACTCGATGGCTGATGTACAAACGGACAGCAGAAAGGCGATAGGGAGCGTACTTGAAGGAAAGAGTGGGAAGATGAATGCTCAACACTAGGGTGGGAGTCGTGAGAGAAGAGCTGCATAGAAATAGGGAGAGTGAGCGGGAGTAGATGTCGATGTAGTAAATCGAGGCAGTAGAGTGAGGAGCGGAAGCATTTAGTGTGAGCAGTTGAGCGGGTAGAAACCATTTTGCCTTCCACTTGTGATCGGAAGTGCGTGAGAGAGAGAGGGTAGGGAGAGAGATGGATGAGAGAAGAGAGCGTTGGGTGAAGGTGTGCGGCGAGGGGGAAAGGTGGTTTTGGAGTTCTAGGCTCTTCATGAATAGATCCCTTTGCGAGCTCGGAGTACGCAGGCTGTGAACAAGTTGCAGATGGCAGTCCTTGGGACATCCATTGATATTGGGACGAAACAGAGAAGATCACCGAGTCCCCTGTGCACACACAGAGGTAAAGGAACTTTGACAGAATTGAGTTGCGGAGGGCAGAAAAAAAGTGAAATGAGGGGAAGCTACTGCCCGCCTTGCTGCGGTGGATTCCACCATCCATGTCCTTGGTCATCTGGTGCAGAGCCAGCTTCTTCTTATGACTTCGTCGGTGTTCACGGTAAAAGGCAGGCATGCTCGGTCTTGAAAACTTGATGCCGAAGATCTCTCCCAACGCTGGATGCCAAAGATCTCTCCTCGAGGGGGAATGGATGACGGAGCTGCCGTGGTCGGGAAATGCTCTGCCGATCTCATCGTGTCCTTCATCCTCCAGTGCAGCAGAACCAGCTTTTTCTTATGTCTTTTTGGATGTTCGCGGTCAAGAGCAGGCATGCAGGGTGCCAAGGATCTCTCGTCCCCTCACCACCCCTCGAGTGGGAATGGATGGCAGATGGGCTGTGGTTGGAGAAATGCTACACCCATCTCATCATCATGCCACTCAACTTACTCGAGTGCTTAGTGAGGTTGTGTTCACGGTAAAGGGCAGGTATGCTGGGTGTTTGAAACACTCGATGCCAAGGATCTCTCCTCCCCCCCAGACCCATCGAGGGGGTATGGATGACGGAGCTGCTGTGGTGTGGGAAATGCTCCACCCATCTCATCATGCAACGCAACTTACTCAAGTGATCAGTGCGGTTCATGCCCCAGTGTTCTCTCCTTCGTTTTCTTCGCGTTTCTTCAGTTTTCTTGTGCGACTTCTTTTATGTTGGTGTCTTGTGTCGTGTATTCTTTTGTGAATCCCTGCCCTGCCTTTGTTATCCCGATGTCTGTCTTGCGATTGCCGTAATTGGTGTTTTCCCGTACTATTTGATGGCGATGGATTGTGATCGTGCACGCACGTTCCTTCTGAGGCTGTTCTAAATTTGTCAACGTGATTGGCAAGCACCTCAGTCCTAGTTTTGTTTTTGGTGCGAAGCCACTATTCAAGCAAATTGGAAAACAAAAGGATTGCTGTTCTTCGCTCCTGCAACCAAACATGCAACGTTAATTCTTTGGCTTGCATGTGGGTTGTTGGACAGCTTGCCCATTTCCGCCCTGCTTGCTTCTGTTCGTGTCTCAAGCCACTGTTGTTGTCTCTCTGCCCACCTTTGTGGGATCATTCTGCCACTAGCCTACCCACAGATGTTCAGTGTACCCCAGTTGTTCCGCATGCGTCATTTCTTCTACAGACTACTCCAGTGGTTCCGTGTGCATCATTTCTTCTACAGACTTTGTTTGGTCCAGTTACTTCCATTTCTTCCACGTATTTTGTTCGGTTCTATGTAGTCGGAATGTTTGAGCTACACACAGAGAGAGAGAGAGAGAGAGAGAGTTTCGGGGGGAAGCAGGGACAGAAAAGAAAGGGAGTGTGTACTGGGACGACTTTGATGGCCGAGAGAGGGGAGAGCGGATGCACGAAGAGAGAGCGGTTGCATGCATTTCTCGAGAGGAGAGAGCGGATGCATGCAGTCCTTGAGAGGAGCGAGCGGATGCACGCAGTCCTTGAGAGGAGAGCGAGGATGCACGCAGTCCTCGAGAAGAGATAGCGGATGCACGGTCCTCTAGAGGAGGGTGTCATCGGGAAAGCGTGGATGCACGCAGTCCTCGAGAAGAGAGAGCGGATGCATGGTCCTCTAGAGGAGGGTGTCATCGGGAAAGCGTGGATGCACGCAGTCCTCGAGAAGAGAGAGCGGATGCACGGTCCTCGAGAGGAGGGTGTCATCCGGTGCCATCACCATCGCGATTGTGAAATACGAGATTTTCGTCACTGGTAATAATCTCAGAGTTCCCAATGTTTTTCCCTCATTTTCCGGCATCAATGTGAATTCCTTGTCTATTGCTCTTATGTCAGTTTGTCAGTTTGTCAGTTCAAAAGGCGATGGAGTCTGGAGCGATGGCAGAGCTGCTTGCTGTGTAAAACCACCAGTACTTGGCCCAGCTATCGGCTGGAGAAAATAATAGAGTAAAAACGTTTCTAGTCGGATGAATTTGGGCGTTCCTGTAGTAGCCCGTACGTTTCCTGAAATCATGGTGCGTTAACGGGCACGACTCTAGGAATTACTGGTGGTTTGAACTCTTGATGTGCTTGTATGGTCATATGATCATCTTCTCCTTTCATTATGTTGCCATATGATCATCTCCCCTTTTCATGATGTTCATTTGTTGGTTGGAATCTATGTTTCAAAGCAGTACCTGCAAATTTGTTCTCCCATCACTGCTTGTATGGTCAGACTGTGATGTTTAAGGTGGAACCTGTTCTGGCAGAAGCGATGAAGTTCGATTTGGTTTCTTATGGCAGTGTGTAGTGATCGTCTTCAAGGTGCGGGAAGCGAAAACTCTGGCAGTTCATGCATGTGAGTGCGCCCTGTAGAATTGGGATGAGTGTTTGCCTCGTATATGCATTGTCCTGTTCTCGTCTCTTTTGTCAGAGGTTTCACGGATTCTGATTGCCTAACACACAACTCACTTTAAACACACCCTTTCCCAGTATACTTGGTGGGGAAATCAGCAGGTGAAGGGTATAGTTTTATAGTCTGTCAATGAATGCAGGTGTGGTCTGTGTGTGTATTTGCGGGTTGTGTGAGCAGCATGCTACCTGAGTGCGTGAGTATGTGTGAATGGGGTTGGGCGGTGAGTGGCTGCATGGGTGTGTGCGGGTGTCTGGGCATGGGCGAGCATGTGTGTAGGGGTGGGTCGTGAGTGGCTACCTGAGTGGGTGAGTATGTATGGGTGGGGGTGGGCGGTGATTGGCTGCATGGGTGTGTGCGGTTGTCTGCGCATGGGTGAGCATGTGTGTAGGGGTGGGTCGTGAGTGGCTCCATGGATGTGTGTGGGTGTCTGCGCATGGGTGAGCATGTGTGTAGGGGTGGGTCTTGAGTCGCTGCATGGGTGTGTGTGGGTGTCTGCGCATGGGTGAGCATGGGTGTGTGCGGGTGTCTGGGCATGGGTGAGCATTTGTGTAGGGGTGGGTTGTGAGTGGCTGCATGGGTGTGTGTGGGTGTCTG